TAGAGATGCGTCAATCAAGATACTATTACTCAGAGATAATTGTTACAAATTCATTTTATACTACTAATGGGGGCTCTGACCGCTTGTATAGATGAAGAGGTAAGCTGTTTTTGATTGAGTTTCTTTATTTATTTTCTACTTTGCGGTGCTCTCCCTCCTTGATCCAAACTGTCCTGAAGGGCCTTGGCACTTTTAGATTTTAAACCATAAGAATGCAACAATTAAAAAAAGCAACTTGTTGGCTGCAAAGGTAAATCCAAGTGGAAACCTCCAGCTGTTATGTCTCTGCGGCATATCACTGGTGTAAGAATCACTAGCGATTTCCATGGGGTATTTATTGACATTTTCTGTAGCCACAGTTTGTTGTTCACTTACGAACCTTCATTTCTTTTAACAGATCATGCCATGCAGAGGGAAGAGAGGGGTGGACATTCAGACATGCAAGGGCAAATCCTTGTGTTAATGGAACAAGAGATTTACCACTACTTTGGATACAAGCCTTTGCCGTTGTTGATGCAACAGGCTAACACAGCTTTGGAAAATGTTAGTATTTGTACTTTTAAAGCAAATGGTTAACTACCTTGCATAGCAATCATAACTGAATGGTTCATATCTGTGTAAGGTTTACATTTATGGTTAACTTATAGACACAAGCAGTGTTAGAAGTTTTACTGAACAGGTTTCTGCTATTAGGAATTTCTCAGCTCTCTTTGGGCAGAAAGAAAGGCACTCATTTCCCGTTCCTGTCCACCCCACCTTTTCTGGAAGCCAGTCTGGCACAGCTAATTTGACTGAGTCACTTAGCATTATTATTCCTTGCCTTGCAGGCACCTTTGGCATAGTACGCTGTGATCACTTGTATTCATGGCTTTTGTCAGGCTATAACCTAGATGCTGAGCTCAATATCTTAGAGGTGTTCATGGGCGTAGCCAGGGAGCAGGGGGGACAGCCCCCCCAATAAGTAAAACAACAGAAATAACTAACTGACCAATCAAGACAGCTCTGCCCTGCTAACAAAGTCCTGCCCCCCCCAAAAAAAATCTTGGCTACGCCCATGGAGGTGTTAAAGCTCGGAGGATACAATTAGGGGTCAAACCAAGCAAAAATTCCAAAAAGAATGGGTAAAATATAGAGAATTATCTTAAAAAGCAGCGCCCTCAAATTAATACTTGGACTTGTTTCGATTGACTTCTGCAGAATAATTTATGGTAAGTTAAGTAAGTTAAGTACCATAAAACCACAGAGCCTAGGGCTTGCTGATCAGAAGGTCGGTGGTTCGAATCCCCGCGATGGGGTGAGCTCCCGTTGCTCGGTTCCTGCTCCTGCCAACCTAGCAGTTTGAAAGCACGTCAAAGTGCAAGTAGATAAATAGGTACTGCTCCAGCGGGAAGGTAAACGGCGTTTCCGTGCGCTGCTCTGGTTCGCCAGAAGCGGCTTAGTCATGCTGGCCACATGACCCAGAAGCTGGACGCCGGCTCCCTCGGCCATAAAGCGAGATAAGCGTCACAACTCCAGAGTCAGTCACAACTGGACCTAATGGTCAGGGGTACCTTTACCTTTACCGGTAAGTTAAAAACAGAAATAAAAAGGGGTAATAATGAACTAAAAAGGAGACAGTTTACCAAAAACGGGGGGGGGGGGGAGAACCATGTTGAGGATGAAGGAAGTCAATTAGAAGAAAAGAAGAACTGAAATATGGTATATATCTATATATATATATATTATTGATTAAATATGGTATATATATGTGTGTGTGTGTGATTATTTGTTTTGTATAAGTTTTCATGCATTATGTCTTATTTGTATTTTTTGTTTTGTTGTTGTTTGTTTCTCTTTTGATTCTGTACTATTATTTTCATGTTTAGTTTGACAAGTGTGTGTATGTGATGTAAATAAACTCAATTTTTAAAAATAAAGCACGGAGGATATTTTGGAGATTAGACTAGATTCTGATCTTCTCCACCCTTAAAAAAAAAATCTTGCATCAGATTCAAATTCCGTAGGCATCATTACATTTGCAACTTTACTTGAAATGCCAGGTCTTCCCCATCTTCATTTTCTTACTGGCTGGCATTCAACTAAGGTTTACTCAGAGTTACTAGGGAAATTAATGGAGCTAAGTTCATTCATTTCAGTAGATCTACTCTGAGTAAAACTTAAGTTGATTACCACCTACTGTCTCTATCCCTACCCCAGGTCAGAACATTGCTTTGGATCAAAACTACAGAGGTGGATCCAAAACCACCATTCCTAAAATGCTCAACAGTGTATGTAGTATAGAATCATAGAGTTGGAAGGGACCACGAAGGTTGCCTACTCCGACCCCCTACAATGCAGGAATTTTTTGTCCAATGTGGGGCTCAAAACCAGAACTATGAGTCTCATGTTCTATTGGCTGAGCTATGCTTCGGACTATATGTGTTGCTGGACTACAGCTCCCATCAGCCCCACCCATTAAGGGCAATGGGTGTTGGAGTCCAATAACATCTGGAGGGCCACAGATTTCCCCTCCCTGATGTGGGTGCTATTGATTTTAGAATGAATTGGTTTTAGAATGCTCTGTTACTTTTATTGTTGTTAGCCGCTCAGAGCCCGGCTTCGGCTGGGGAGGGCGGGATATAAATAAAATTTTATTATTATAAGTGGAACAGTATCTTTGGCAAGTAATGCAACCAATTTTTCACTCAACAGAGACATTCCTTAAGTGGACAACATTACCATGAAGGTCTTTGTGCCTTTTAAAGTTAACATTGCTTTAGGACATAGGAAGCTGTCTTATACCAGCTCGGAGCATCAGTTCATCTAGCATAGAATTGGCAGCACTGGCTGCCAGCAGCTGTCCAAAGTTTGAACCTGAGACCATGTACATGCAGAAATATTGTGCTACAATCCAGCTACAGCCCTGGTTTCCTTGCCTTGCCTATTTAAAGGCATGCACTGTATTTGTAAATATTTGCACACACTATTGTTTGGGGTCTAAGGCAAGGTGCAAACTGCATCAAGAACACACAGGTGGGCAGAAGAAAAGCCCCTGCCCTCCAGAAAGCCCTCAATGTCACCCCAAACACAATCACATCTTTTATCCCATTGATTAATCCCAAAATGTATAAGGCTATATAGTCATACCTCATGTTTCGTCCAATTCATGTTATGTTCTTTCAGGTTACGTCCCACGGCGACCTGGAAGTACCGGAAAATGTTACTTTTGGGTTTCACCGCTCGCACATGCGCAAAAGCGCAAAATGACATCTCGTGCATGCGCAGAGGCGGCGAATCGGAACCTGCGTGTGCGCAGATGCGCTGCTGTGGGTTGTGTTCTTTTCATGTTGTGAACGGGCCTCCGGAACGGATCCCGTTTGCAACCAGAGGTACCACTGTATACAAGTTCTACTTGCATGACGATATCACCACTCCACACGCACGCTGTGTGCCCTCCTCAAAATCTGCTACGAGGGTTAGGAGAACCCCCCAGAACAGCACAAGGAAGGAGGAGAGGGGAGATCTGCTTCGCAATACTTTGCGCAGAATGCAGCTACATCTGTGGGGAGGGATTCAACAAAGCGCTATGGTAATTGCCCCATCAGTGTATGCATTTCAGCATGCTAGACAGAACAATTCCCACCTCCGCCTGCTTGCTGTTCTCGGGGTTCTCCTGAACCCCCAGAGCTTAATTTGGAAGGCGCAAGGGGCAGAGAGAGGGTGGACAGAAGAAGTCCTTGCCCAGACTTCCACTAACAGGACTCCTTAGCTGAATTCAGTGCTTTTTTTCTGGGGTACGCAGGGGTACACGTACCCCTAAACATTTTGTGAATCTTTGTACTTTTGTCCATTTACTGTATTTATTTCCCCCGATTTGAACTATAAAATGGTGACTTTCTTGAGTCAAAATGAGAGTACAGTGGTACCTCGGGTTAAGTACTTAATTCGTTCTGGAGGTCCATTCTTAACCTGAAACTGTTCTTAACCTGAAGCACCACTTTAGCTATTGGGGCCTCCTGCTGCCGCCGTGCCGCCGGAGCACGATTTCTGTTCTTATCCTGAAGCAAAGTTCTTAACCTGAAGCACTATTTCTGGGTTAGCAGAGTCTGTAACCTGAAGCGTATGTAACCCGAGGTACCACTGTACCCCTAAACATTTTTTAAGGAAAAAAAGCACTGCCTGAATCCGGCCTACGGATTGGAACTGCTGCGCCAAACAAAACATGTCTTGAAAAGGAATTCAGGAAAACCCTGTCTGCCTACTTTTTAAGCCACACTGATTACGTGTAAATAGATCCTGTAACTGCATTAATATGTAAATACTGATGAGTGGATTATGCCCTCCATTCAAACATCACCTCAGGCATATCCATCAGGTACCATGTATAAACAGAAGCCAAAGGAAAAGAGAGAAAAGGAGACTTGGGAATCTCTGTGAAGGAACATGCAACCAGGCCAAAATCAGCTGGAAAAGGCAAGGAACTAAGTACCCATTTAGCTTCAACCAGTTGGCCCACTTGACGAAGCTATTAGGAGTAGACAGGAAAGTGGGTGGGGAAAGGGTTAAGCATCTTCTCCACTCAAAACCACCCTTCCCGAAACTGTTTTGAATCTTTAAAGAACAGGAACATTATAGGGACTTCATTGCATACATTTGCACATAACCTGAAGTCAGTCCCTCAGGTAAGGAACAGGTGGAAAGAACAGGAAGAATAAGACAAGGGAGAGAAAGACAAGCCAGGCATAGAACAATAGATACGTTCTACAGCAGCATCTTAGGTAGCCTTCACATTTACCAGACACGTCCTGTTTCCTGATTTCCTCTTATGTATTCCCAGGAGGCCCAGGGATACAATTTGGCCAGGCAAACAGACATAACAAACAACTTCTGCAAAGCAGAGCTTGCTGCATTCTCTGTGTAGGATACAGAAACCTGCTGACAGCTGCTCTCTGTGGTAATGTACACAGAAATCAGCTTGCGACCTTACAGTTTTAGGTTTTAGAAAATCTTAGCTTACCTTTGTCTAAGTCTCCACTCTCTGTTACGGATCACATTTGAACCTCTTTTACTGAACTGCGTGTGCACAGCGTTTCTTTGTCGAGGAAAATGTGGAATTGTCACCCGAGGAATTATGTGTATGTCCATCTGCGCAATTTTTAAACAAAAAAAAAATCTCAAACTATGTTTATTTCCACTTTCTGTAACTGCTGTGAAGAATTAATAGGCACTGCTCAATTTTAAGGGGGTGCTAATTGAACCGCCTTAGATGATGAAGATGATGGTCTTATGAAATTGCTGTGCACTACCTTGGCAGGAGAATTATATCCTGAAAGCTGGCTTTTAAATTATTTCATAAAAAAATAAGAAAATCACTGCACCTATTTTACTTATTTATTCATATTTAACATATTTATATATTGCTTACTCAGCAGACAAACTCTAAGTGGTTTACAAAGAACAATCTAAAACGTTCATTTAACTGTATCAATAAAAGCAAACTTATAAACAAATTAACATAGAATGTTGTCAATATATAGATTAAATCAGCAATTTCAAAAGCCATTATACATAGTAACATTACATGTTAAAGTTACATGCCTGAGTGGCTTGCCAGAATAAAAAAGATTTTTCAGAAGGCACTGAAAACAATGCAGGGAAGGGACCAGCTTAATATTAATGGCCAAGGCGTTCCAATATTTATTTTATTTAGTTGAGAAAAGTAATTATAGGATAGTACAGAAATTCAAGTAAATAAATAGTATATCATTGTATACCCAGGATCTACCGTTTATACTTGAAACATTGCCTATAGATCCACTCTGGACATTCTTTCAGATATAATAACAAAAGAACACAGAAGCCAATATAAAATATGTCAGTTGGACTATTGGTTTTGTGGTTGAGTGTATTATTTGCATTTGAGTGTTTTAAAAATATAGTTTTTAAAAGAAATTCCTAAAATTGGGCATGTTACATTGTCGAAATATCAGGAGTGGTGGCAGGTTTGGGGTTTTCGTTTTGCTTATACAGCCACATCAGGTTAGCTGGGGCCAGGATGAATTCATCAAATTTATTTCCATTTGCGTCCTTAATCTGGATTGGAATCCAGGTTCCCAGAGGTAAAAAGGCTAGGCCTGATTCCTAATCCACTGGGCCCTCAGCTTCATAAACAACCCGCCCCCCATCTTGCAAGAGGTCAGCTCTTACATTTTCCGCATTTATTGCTAATTTTGTCAGAGAATATAATGTTATTAAAAGGGGGCTCTGAGGTTAATCTTTATCCATACGCGAGAAAGACGTGACACGATGTCACCCAATAATTGGGATCTTATCAGTTCAGAGTATGTCAAGAAGAAGAGGAAACAAATCAGACCACAAATGGAAATGGAACGTGCCTATGCATTATTAGCAATTTGTTTTGGGGGTTTTCTCCTTCCCTAGCAGAAAGGACTGGTGGATGAGATGATTTCACAGGCAACCGGGTCTATGAGATAGAAATGATGCTGTGATGGAGCCATTACTAGCAACAACAACACAATGCTTTTTCTCTGCTGAGGCTAACTGTGCCAAATATTGATCTGTTATGTTCTTTTTTTTATTCTGCCTGTCCTCCAAGGAGTTAAAGGTGCTGCTCCTGGTTCTCTCCCTTTCATTTTATTCTCACAACGAGCCTGAGAGGTAGGCTAGGCAGGGAGAGAGAATACTTGGCCCAAGATCACCTCAGTGAGCTTCATGACCAAGTGGGGATTTGAACCGGGATCTCTCTGGGCCGAAGTCTAAATAACAGTACTATTCTGTCAATTAGAGTTGCCAACTGCTGGTTTCGAAAACTCCATACTTCCCCTATAGCAGATGTGGGGAACCTTTGGCCCACCAGATACTGCTGAACTACAACTCCCATCAGCTGCAGGAACCATGGACAATGTCCAGAGATTGGATTTGATATCCCGCTTTATCACTACCCTAAGGAGTCTCAAAGCGGCTAACAATCTCCTTTCCCTTCCTCCCCCACAACAAACACGCTGTGAGGTGAGTGAGGCTGAGAGACTTCAGAGCCCAAGGTCACCCAGCAGCTGCATGTGGAGGAGCGGGGAATCGAACCCAGTTCACCAGATTACGAGTCTACCGCTCTTAACCACTACACCACACTGGCTCTCATTATGATGGGAGTTGTAGTTCAGCAACACCTGGAGGGCCAGAGGTTCTCCACATTGCTCATGTAGTCAGGGCCTATATTGATTTGACTGCCTTTTCAGACTCCATTACTACTGTTTTACTGTTTAGTCCAGTAAAATGCTAGCTGGTTGGTGTTCTTAAGTGCAGTTAAGTAGCCTGGTGAATCCAGGCTCATGTTGGATTCAAAATCTCCAGTACTCCCTAACTCACTCCTTCTCAACCCCCACTGAAGGCATAAGGAGCACTGGCAGTGAAGCTTTCTGCTGTTGCAATGAGAAGGTCTTTGACTTTGGAAATCCCTCTCTGACTTTGAGCAAGGAGCTCCATGGTATCCTATGGCTCCCTCTCAACCGCCCTCCCAGGGGCTACAGGATTGCTCCCTAAATCAAGGTAAGACTTATATTTCTCATCCACAATTCATGTGTATCACCTGTTCACCTTTGATGATGTTTTTTGGCTCCAGATATAATTTTCCCAGGCCTTTACGTCTAATCTGTTTTAATCTCATCTCCATCACTACACCAGTGTGGTGTAGTGGTTAAGAGCAGTAGTCTCGTAATCAGGTGAACTGAGTTCACATCTCTGCTCCTCCACATGCAGCTGCTGGGTGACCCTGGGCTGGTCACACTTCTTTGAAGTCTCTCAACCCCACTCATCTCACAGAGTGTTTGTTGTGGGGGAGGAAGGGAAAGGAGAATGTTATCCGCTTTGAGGCTCCTTCAGGTAGTGATAAAGCGGGATATCAAATCCAAACGCTTCTCTTCTTCTTCAGGAGAATTTTATGCTCGAAGGCGGCATATAACATAAATAAATAAGATGGCTTTACGATGCTGCTTTTAGATTTACTGCTTCTAGGATTTCGTTTTTGTTTTTTAAAACCTATTTTGTAAACCGCCCTGCAAATGCATCTGAAGGACAGGGTAGCGATCCCTAAAACAAACACTTAATTTACACCTCTTTGGGAATTTGTTTCCATACTGTGGTGGCCAAACACTGTGGCAGCACTTGGAACAGCTATGCAAAGACTCAGGAAAACCTCCTGGTCCCAGGCACATCAAGTTGGGCAGTGAGATTGGCAAATTCCCTGCCTGAAGCTGTTGTTATTCACCTTAGATGAGTAGGCAAAGCTAGAAGAATGCATTGGTTTCAACTCTTCTCCTCCTTTCCATGCTAGGGGGGAGGAAAGAGCAAGTTTCCAGGCCTTCCAAGTGTCTGTTGGAGGGCAAACTTCCAAACCCTCCAAGTGTCCCTATTTTCCAGGGGCAGTCCTAGATTTACAGAAGCTGTCTTGGTTTCTGATTTGATCCTGGAATGCTCTGCTTTCCCTTAGGACACTCTTATTTTCATTGGAGAAATGTTGGAGGGTATGAAGTTATGCAACCCCCGAGCCAAGGAGATAAGATAAGGAGATAAGACATCTAAAGGCAGCTTTGTATAGGGAAGATTTTTTAAATGTTTTTTAAACGTTATGTTTTTATATTTGTTGGAAGTCATCCAGAGTGGCTGGGACAACCCAGTCAGATGGGTGGCGTATATATAATAACATTATTGGAATAGGGCGTCCCTAGTTTCATTGGAGAATAGTTGGAGGGTATGAATTACTGGTCCCAAAGTTACTATGCAAGCTTATTCTGTTCTGCCTCGTAGCCACTGCTATGAGACAGGTGAAAAGGCACAATGTATTTCCCTGCTTCTCCTGGTCATTCTGGAAACAACTTGCAGTAGAAAGTGGGCAGTTGGGTGATGATAGAGAGAGTCAGCATGATATAATGGAGAACAGGTTGGACCAGGGACATTTGGGTTCAGGTCCTACTCAGCCATGAAGCATGATATTTCACCAGTCATTTTGCTCTCTCTGTTCTGAATACACCTCATAAGTTTGCTGCATTGAGCTTTGGGGTGGAAGATAAGGATACAGAAACTAATGCATTTGCAACAGGTATAGCAGATGTAAATGTGTGTGTGGAGGGTTAAGAACTGAATTGTGATGGAAGTGCTATGGGGGTGTGGCATGTTTGTTTAAACTGAGATTGCACTTTGCTGCATTATGCGCTCACTTAAAAAACCCACCTAGAGGCCCACCTAAACAATAGCATTTTTATTACTGGCTATTGAAATCCCTAAAGATTGGGGACTGGCTATAATTGTTCCTATATTTAAAAAGGGCAACCCTTCTGATCCATCTAATTATAGACCAATTAGTCTTCTGAATGTGATCTGTAAACTTTATACAAAACATCTATGCCTAAAATTATGTGAATGGTTAGATCATAATGACTTGTTAGAAATTGAACAAGCAGGGTTTACATCTGGACGTTCCACCATTGATCACTGCTTAGTGCTGGATTATTTTGTCTATAAGTATGTGAAACATTGGAAAAAGTCATTGTATGCGGCCTTTGTGGACCTAAAGGCAGCATTTGATTCTGTATCCAGGGATAGGCTCTGGGCCAAATTGGCCAATATGGGTATTAACAGAAGGTTATTACTTCTGATGATTAAACTTCATGAGAACAATACCCTCCAGATAAGACTCGCACAGGACGGCAGACTCTCTAGAGAAATCCCAGTCCAAAGAGGAGTTAGACAAGGATGCCTTTTAGCCCCATTTTTATTTAACATCTATGTTAACTCCCTGGTCACATGTTGCCGTGAAATCGAAACCCACCCCCCCGTGTTCTCTAACGGCAGAAAAGTACCAGTTTTAATGTATGCGGATGACGCTGTTCTTCTCTCTCAAACCAAAGTGGGTCTGAAACGTGCCTTAGGAAAGTTTAGTGACCAATGTAACACTGAACTGTTAACAATTAACTTTGCCAAAACCAAAATTGTACATTTTAACCGCTCTTTCAGGAAAGATAATTGGAGCGTAAAGGGAAATGCCATTGAACAGACTAAGACCTTCCAATACTTAGGCATTACTTTCTCTTATAATGCCAAATTGTCAACACACCTGACCACATCAGCTA